TCTCGTCCACGACTCTGTGAATATGGATCCAAAGCTTTGGGGCGGCATGAGAAGAATGCTGCAGAAGTAATTATTTTCATTCATTTGCGCTCTATATCGATCGGCCTATTTCGTTCATTTCCTAATATCAAGTAACTAATTAATAACTCTCTTGTTCATTTAATTTTCTTTGCCTCGTAGGGTTTGGAGACGGTTCGTAGATATAAAGGTCGGTGAATTCAAAAAAGAGCTAGAATTCAAAATGTTAAAGGCTAAGAATGCTGGGGATATTCAGCCACCGGAGACCAATCTATGTGGATACTATGTCTGTGAGATGATCCGGAGATACACCTCTGAGCGGGTTCCGAGTGATACCAATGCTCAGAGGAATAACCTCCGGTGGATGCTTAGTCCAGAAGCTCGCTTCCGACCACTTCAAGAGGAACTAGCTGGATGGTTCAGCAGGGAAGTCCTCCATCCTAAAGGAGAACACTATTACGAGGACGTAGAACTTTATATGCATTAAATCATGTATGGAAACTTGTTCAAAATTGTATATGGTCATCCGATGATATTGAATATATATTGTATATTCCTCTTGAATTCTTTTTGGTTCTAATTTCAAATTTATTTGAAATTGTACAATCATATGCATGTATGTAGTACCGTAGAATATATGAAACTCCTTCAAAATTAAAATAAAGCATAAAAGAAATAAAACAATACAAATTAAACACAAAACAGGTTTAAGGGGGGGGCTAAAACCCTAAACCTGCGGCGGCCTTTAGTCGCGGTTGGCCAGAAGAACCGCGACTAAAGGTCCTCCGCCCCGACGGCCACCTGGCGCCCACGTGGACGGGCCTTTAGTCGCGGTTCTTAAGCAACCGCGACTAAAGGGGGGGCCTTTAGTCGCGCCCGTTCGGTCGCGGTTGCGCAACCGCGACTAATGGCAGTTGCGAACCGCGACCAAAGGCCCTTTTTCCACCAGTGTTTTCTTTTGTTCTTTCTCTATCGTTTTTTTTGGGCGTGACTGTGCTGCTTCCGCCTCAGCACATATTCATGTATGGTTTGGTTGGTTGCTTTGTATACAAAGCGGGGAAACCCTTTTTCGGTATTCCAGAGTAGTCGCCGGGGTGCTGGATCCGTAGAGAGAAAAATAATGGAGAAGGTCCACTAACATCAAAGAAGGAGAGTACTCTAGAACACGGTAGCACCTTCATGGGCCGAAAAGAAAAACAAGGAGAAGCTCGTGGAGCCGAGCTGAAAAGCGAAACGTAACCAAACGCTCAGAGTATTCGAGATGCTTCAAGAGCAGCACCTGCGACGCTATAAGTACCTGAGCCTCAGTCCCATCGGTCTCCATCGGTCCATCCCAACTCAAGCCAGTGTCACGCAACAGCAAACAACATCCTTTTCCTACCTACGATCCGATACCGAATTTTCCGAGCGCACAAGCCAAACCAAAGCAAACACTGACGATGTCGATCGTGAGGCGGAGCAACGTGTTCGACCCCTTCGCCGACCTTTGGGCGGACCCCTTCGACACCTTCCGTTCCATCGTCCCGGCGATCTCAGGCGGCAGCAGCGAGACGGCCGCGTTCGCCAACGCCCGTGTGGACTGGAAGGAGACCCCCGAGGCGCACGTCTTCAAGGTCGACCTCCCCGGCGTGAAGAAGGAGGAGGTCAAGGTGGAGGTGGAGGACGGCAACGTGCTCGTCGTCAGCGGCGAGCGGAGCAGGGAGAAGGAGGACAAGAACGACAAGTGGCACCGCGTGGAGCGCAGCAGCGGCAAGTTCGTGCGGCGTTTCCGGCTGCCGGAGGACGCCAAGGTGGAGGAGGTCAAGGCCGGGCTGGAGAACGGCGTGCTCACCGTCACCGTGCCAAAGGCCGAGGTCAAGAAGCCCGAGGTGAAGGCCATCGAGATCTCCGGCTGAGTGCATGCGTTTGGACGTATGCTCATTCAGGTTGGAGCCAATTTGGTTGATGTGTGTGCGAGTTCTTGCGAGTCTGATGAGACATCTCTGTATTGTGTTTCTTTCCCCAGTGTTTTCTGTACTTGTGTAATCGGCTAATCGCCAACAGATTCGGCGATGAATAAATGAGAAATAAATTGTTCTGATTTTGAGTGCAGTGCAGATTTTGCGTACACAAAATTTGACCTTTTTTGCTTGCAGTTGGGATGGATACACTGACAGGCTTTCTTCTACAGAAACATCGGTACACTGAATGTCTTCTGTCTCACATTCAGCTTTCATAATCGTGGGTCTACAATGATTCTGTGACTTCTATTCTGCCTCACCTTCAGTTTTCTTTGTTCTTCTTTGAGAAATACATTCAGTGTTCATTAATCAGTTATTTCTAGGACAGAAAGAGAGCAGAGACATGCCATCAGAAGCCTCTTAGATTTGAAGCCTCCCAGTGCGCCAAGAGTGGCCCTGTAAGGTTGTTAAATTCATAAATATATTTAAAGTTAATGAATATTTTTTAAGTTTGTGAACATTTTTAAATTTGCTTAGTTTATTTCAAATTTACAAACATTTTTTAAAGTATATTATATGTTTTTTAAAAAATCCAAGGGCTTTTAAAACCTTGAATATCTTTTGATTTAACAATTCTTTAATAAAAGAATGTTAGCCGGAGCGAGTGAATAAAAGCTAAGCAAATGAGAGCTAAGTGAGCGAGAGCTTCCTGGACCATGTGAACATTATAACAACAATTCCACGGTTTTAGCCTGGAGTAGATCATCTCAAGAGGCTCACACAACAACCACCAGCTAACACTCATGCCGTAACACATAAGGGCATCACTACCACAGGTCAAACGACTCCCCTCTCATCTTAGAACAAATATCATCTATAATAACAGCCTATCACAATACACACAAAAATAACACTACCAGAACATAATTAAAATCCAAGTCAACACAGAGAAAATCAAAACAAAACAGCCGACTACCATAAGCTGCTAGAGAAAAAAGACAACAACGCCTTCGCGTGCTATAGCCTCTAAGTAAAACACATGGCAGCATGGATTTTGGACCGGAAATGAGAACGGTGGACACAGGACAGGCCTTAAAAAATGTGTGCATCGGACCTTGGATAAATACACATCGTCCAGTCTGTGGCCCAATCTATCTTCCGCCTTGCATCTTTTTCCCTTGAAAATTGCATTTTCCAATACACACAAGACATATCATCCAATGAAGTCCACACCTAAGACTTGATCCCGAGTGGGTATGCAGAGGCCCGGGGCAATCCTTCTTTTTAATCCTGAGTGGGTTGGAGTGTAAGTACACACAACTCTACTATCCGGTCTAAGAAAATCTAGATTATCGTGAATCATTTCTTTCTCGTGAATGAGGAGGATGTGTAGATGAGGGAACGTAGAAGCTCAATTTTGTTTTGGCAGAAACAGTTTCATTGAATAATCCCTGTTTAGTTGCAATTGAAACATTGAAGATACATATTTAATTCCTTAGAGTTTTTTCCCTTGTATTTTCAGTAAGCCATGCATTCGTATGCAAAGTACATAATGTGTGATTCTAGGCAAAACTTGATGGACCTCCGAAGTTTCTCTTGGTTGTTTTAAACATTACACTCACCACCAAATCCTAATTTGACTTTTAAAGGCCGTCAAACAAAAAATAAATATTAAAACATTAAGTATAAAAATGCATATATATTTCTGAAAATTATACATATTGAAATTTTATATTACATGTATCGTCTCAGTAGTACAAGGTGCCACCACTTTTATGACGCCCGCACATGAATCTTTTTTATTGGGCCGAGGTACAGTTCGCAATGAGGTGTCCCCGAAACTCTATATTGCACTATCTAAAGGGTCTCTCCACCACAATTGTCATCTCCATCTACATAAGATCAGTACTTGCAATTAAGACCCCATTGAGATTAGCGACATTATAAGACGGTTAATCATCCATCTTCAAATAAGCCTATCTACAATGTCTCTCATTTGTGGTTCGATTGCGATGTGTGAGTAATCCCCTCGGGCGAAGGACTAGGCATAGCCTTGTAATACCGAGACATGTATCAATGGGGCCTATGGTCCAGGCGTCATCCGCACTCGGGGCCCCTCCCACGCGTGCACTCGACCATGCTAGTTTAATTTGATGGCTTGTGTTCTTCTCATGTTGGTAATAGGTCGAGATATTGTAGGTAATTTATATTCATTACTTGCAAACAATAAGAGGCGAGAGTGCGAGGCTGTTGCACACGTTGAACCGCGTCGCGCGGCAGGGGTCATCGCTGCCGGCGACGAGGCCGCTGTGGAAGGCCACCACGGAGCGGTTGCCGTAGCGGATGCCGAGGAGGCGGAGGTAGGACTTGCTGAGGGAGGGCACCGTGGCGCCGGTGGGGTCGTCGCACGTGATACCGAAGGTTGGGTAGCCGCAGCTCGGTTCGTGGTGGCCGAGCAGCCAGAACAGGCATGTGATGGTCAGGTCGCCGCACGCCGCCAGCGCGCAGCTCGCGTCCAGCGGCTGCGTGCGGGAGCCAAGCAGCAGAGGCATGCACAATAGTAGAAGCACGAGTAACATGTCGGATCAAATGGCGAAAGGGATGGAATTTCTGTGGTATTTTAAGATGGGGAACGAGACTGGATCGTACTAGCAGTAACTTGTAAGCCGCCGGGGGATGGTCGTCCATGGCTGATTTGTGTGACATTTGGTCAGCAGTCCAATGTTAGAACTCGGGGAAGATGGTCCTCTGATCGACCCTCACGGCCTTATTTAGCCGTATTTCGGATGACTTTGGTAATATGAGGACACGAGGAACGTCTCTCGGCATTTGTCAGTTGTACAGCTATCCATCATCCAACGTCGTTCTCATTACTGCAACAAGGGCAGGGTTGCGGAAATACTTTGCAACAAAGCTTATGTTGCAAAAATCTTTTCTGGCATAGTTGACATTGTCAAAAAAATCATCACTATTTTGGCAACATCAGTGTTGTTGCAGAAACCAAATTGCAACACACACAATGTTGCAAAAATATTTGTCATTTTTCTTTTGTCTTCATTTTTTCGCAACATGGTTGTTGTTGTGGAAGGCAATTTTGCAACACTAGTGACGTTGCAGAAAGAGAGACATGAAGGATATGTGTACACGCGTCACATGGTGGAGGCGGCGGATCGCTCGCGTGCGATCCATCGGGTGAAGGCAAGAGTTTCCCGTGGAGAAAAGGTTTCCCAACAGCGGGGAAAAGAACTTTTGGCCTTGATTGTTTGATTCACAAGTCCTTACGGCATCTCCAACGCTGACCCAAAATCAGATGTCATACCCGTCCGCAGATCGGTCTTGACCGTACATGAACCGACCATCAACTCTTTACTGTAAATTTTTGACTCTATTAACTTACAAAAAGATTATTAGCTTTAGTTTGATGAAAGGCTATTAATCATAGTGCCTCGGTAGCCTTCGCTAAATCTAGCCCGGCCAAATCATGGCTACTAAGCACCAATCATCACCAATCACAAGGCAAAGAGCTAAGTATTTGGCTTGGTGCTCCAACTAGTGCAAAAAAACGCCTTCCACCAGTGTCGGAGCTACACAAAAACTACTGGGGGCCAAACGTAAATGATAAATATCTGGGGGAGGGGGCGAAACGTTAATTTTCCTCTCACCTAGGTCCTTTAAAAAAAATTCAGACTTTTCTCCAAGGCTGGGGGCATCGGCCCCTGGCCTCAACATAGCTTCGCCGCTGCCTTCTACCAAACGGCTGGCTAATTTGCATAATTAAATATACTAGTAGAACCCATGTGCAAAGAATAATGTCAGGTGACATGAGGCATAGACTATTCACATTTGTCTGAACATTAGGTTCTAGGCCATGTTGCGGCTGCAGCTCCACCGCTGCCACCTATGGTGGCAGCAGCGGTAGTCCGTGGGGGCCCAGACAGGGGAGATCTCGTCGGCGAGCACCTCGGAGGACGATCTCTACTTCACCCCCTCCACTTCTTTCGAGACCGACGATGCTGAGTGAGCCCCCATTCCAATTTGCTTTAAATTAATTGATTGATGAACAGATCAGTTTAGTCGAGATTGTGGGATGTATATCTTAATGAGTGTGTGGATTTGTCTTTGTGACTAATGATGAGTGAACATCTATTTAGACATGCTTGCCAGACTGTTTGCCTTTTGATGATCCATTTATTTGCAAGCCTTTTCATGAGCTCACCTAATCAGCTGCTACGTATTATAGTTAAACCAACAATGCGGCATTAGTGATAATGTGACCATGTGCGTCCAGATCTTTTGTCCATCTTTCCACAGAGATAAGTTGTACCAAATGGATGGGTATAAACGGTAACTGGGCACATGTGGAGAGGGTCGTGCCTATCACCACCGCCAGCCCGTCTTGCACTAGAATGGGTCGAAATTGATGGTGTGGTTGCAGGCCATGGACAGCTGGGCGGCCAGCCGCGTCGCCTGGGGACGGGGGGCGAAAGGCTAATTTTCCTCTCACCTAGGTCCTTCAAAAAAAATCTTTAGACTTTTGTCCAAGGGTGGGGGGCATCAGCCCCCTAGCTTCAACATAGCTTCGCCACTGCCTTCCACCAAACGGCTGCCAAATTTGCATAATTAAATATACTAGTAGAACGCCCGTGTGTTGCCACGGGCTAGTAAAATATGTGTACAAATAATAATGGCAGGTGACATGAGGCATAGACTATTCACACTTGTCTGAACATTAGTGTTGCAAACAATGGCAGCCCTGTGCACCTCTCCACCTCCGGCTCGCACCCTCCGGCTCTGGGCCCTGCCGCGGCTGCAGCTCCAACGCTTCCAACTATGGTGGCGGCAGCGGCAGTCTATGGGGCCCCCAGACAGGAGAAATCTCGCTGGCGAGCACCTCGGAGGATGATCACTACTCTACCCTGATACGTCCATTTTGCATCATGCTTTTATATCAATAT